TCCTGCCTAAATCAGCCCAGCCAAGTGTTTGTCTAAGTTCTTGAAATTATGCAGGGATGGAGAGTCCACAATTTCTCCAGGTTGCCTGTTTGAATGCTTGGCCACCCTTAGCCAGCAAATGTTTCTTAATCTCCAGCCTAAATTTTCTCTGTTTCAGCTTGAGGTCAAAGGCCAATCTCCTACAGCCACAGAGAAAAGGCCATCTCCATCCTCTTTATAATCACCCTTCACGTATTTGAAAACTGTTACTGAATTCCCCCTCATTTTTCTCTTCTTCAGACTAAATAACCCATTTTTCAGCCTTTCGTCATAAATAGGGACGTACCTAAATTGCAGCAGAAGTGTGCTGCGCAGCGGCTCCTTTAATCTTACTGTTTTCACCATGGTCCCCGCCCCCCGCACTGATTGGTGGAGGGGCCCTGGCAGCCTCACCACTTGCGGCTTGATCCTGATCAGCCAGGAGGCAAAAACTGTGGTTTCAAATATACTGTGGTTTTTGCCTCCCGCTGCTGATTGGCCGAGGGGCCCCATCAGCCCTTCCACTTACTGCTGATTGGCTGGAGACAAAAACTGCAGCATATTTAAAATAAAAATTTTGCCTCCCAGCTGATTCAACAGCAAGTGTCAAGCAGCAGGGCCAGTGGGAGCCCTCCTACAATCAGCAGCGGGGGCGGGGCGGGCAGTGTGTGCAGCAAAAGCAGCAAGATTAAAGGATCCACTGTACAGTGCACTTTCACTGCGATTTAGGTAGGTCCCTACCCATAAATCATACCTCCCAGGCTTCTAAGAATGTTTTCACTCTCCACGGGACTCTTTCCAGTCTGTGTATATCCTTTGGGCTCCATCCTTCTTGAGCTATGGGGTCCAAAACAGGATACAGGACTCAAGGTGAGGCCTCAACAATGCTGAATGCAGCGGAAAAATCACTTTTCTTGATTTGAAAGTTCCACTCCTGTTAATACAACCCAGTACGCTGTTGGCTAATTTTGCAATAAGAGCAAATTGTTGGCTCATGTTTAGTTTATAGTCCACTGTAATCCTGAGGTCCTCTGCAGTACCACAGCCTAGCCAGTTATTCCCCAGTCTGTATTTGTGCATGCAATTATTCCATCCCAAATTCAGGGATTTGTCTTTGTTGAATTTAATCTGATTGATTGCAGACCATTTCTCCAGTTGACCCAGGTTATTCTGATTCCTAGCCCTACCATCTGCAGTTCCACACAACTTGATGTCACCTGCAAATTTGCTAAGCGTGCACTTGATCCCGTTGTCCAAACTGTTAATGATGTACAACAATTCAACAATAATGTATCCAGGAGAGACCCCTGGCAAACCCTACCTGAGATCACCTCTCAACTAGACATTGAGCCATTAACAACTATTCATTGAACAGGATGAACCAACTAGTTTTGTGTCCACCTTAGAGTACTTGCATCTAATCTGTATTTCCTTAGTTTGTTAATAAGCCTTTCTGTTCTTGTGTCTGCAGCCTAAAACTACTCTACCTCTGTCCTGTTTTCTACATTGCTGCAGTTTTAATTCAGAATGTTCTCTGGCTCCACTTATTTGGCATTTATACAGATTTAAAGAAATCGTTTACACTTCTGTATCTTTCTTCTGCTTTCTGTGTAGAGAAAGTTTAACAAGAATTAATATTTAAAAACTAGTTAGCCCTCTAGATAAGTGTTTGGTTTTACCGTTCATCTGTAGGACAAGACCTTTCACTGGTTATTAAATCCCAAAGGTGCTGACACCAGTTCAGTGGATATGATTTCCAGAAGAGGGTTATCCCCTTTCCAATGGTGGGACTACCTTTGTCACTAGGGTTACATGTCATTTAGCTGAAGGGGCTCCATCTTTTTTTCCCCCACGTTTTCTTCCTTGATTGGTCTCAGACACGTGCAAGCTACATGCACTGACAATAGGTTGTCTTCTTGCAATAATTGTTCTTGCCCAGTTTTAGTTGGGGTTAGGCCCTGTACTGCATTTCACCTGTACCTCCACTTAAGAATCTTAGGTAAAATTACACAATCCTTCCACATCTCCTTGGGATAGATTGTGACAGATGGCTGCAGCCCTGCATTGTAGATTAGAGAGGACCTAGTGGAATAGGGGCTCTCAGGTGCATTGTGCTCCAGGGAGACATAGTTCCTCCTGGAGTATTGAGGAGCACAGTTGGTGTGCAGCTGCCATTGCTCTCCCCTCAAAGAGGGTGCAGCATCCCTCTGCTAGTTTCTTCCCCACTTCTTCCTACCGCCCCACTTACATACCCTAGCAGTAATGGTAGAATTAGTTGTAGCTCACTGACTTCAATCAGTTTTGCTGTGGCTTTGGGTGCAAGCTTTGATCCCTTAATAGTAAAAAAAAAAAAATCAGGCAGTCTAAACTATCCCTTTTTAGGTATACCTGACCTTCCCTGGAGGTTGTATTGATTAGCAGCTGTTTTCTGGAATCTGTGTTTGGTCAAATAACTTTCTCTGTGGGGTCAGAAGTCTTCCTCATTTCAAAGTAGTGAGTCATACTCCCACTTTTAGTTCAGTTGGGCTTGATATATGCCACAAAAAAAGCAGTTCTGTGCTACATTCAGTTGCTGTATGGTACCTAGGTAACACAGTGATAGATCTATGAGACAAGGTAGCCCAGGGTGCATTTTACCATAGTCCACAGAATCTAAATATAGCCAAGTGACACCTATACGTCTGAATGAATACTCAAGGCCTAATCCAGCACTCAATATCTACAGACTTTTGAACCATGCAAGCCTGAGATGGGAGTTACCAGAACCTGTCCTTCATCCTGCACCACACCTGAGATTTGTGAAGCTCAGTCAGAGAATGAGAACACATTGTTCTTTATTTTAGTAGAATAAGCTTGCTCTGCCATGCTAAATATGATCACTTTTTTAATACAGTCAGTGATGCTGTTTAAGGGTTAATTTCAACAGCAGAACCTGTGCATTGAGTTTTCTTGTTTGCAGGGTTCCCCATTGTAATGCAATATACTCTGCCCTTCTGCTCCTTAACACTTAACACAGACTAAGCAGTGCTCTGTTAACTGATATGTGCCATGGTTATATGCCATGGTTATATATATATGTGTGTGTGTGTGTGTGTGTGCTTCCTTGGTATCTCTCATATTTTAAGTATTTGATGCTCTTTGTAGGCAGCATAAATGATCAAAAATGGTGGTTATTGAAATGCTCCTTAGAGTCAATTTTGGTCAGTGTTTGCCTACCTTTTACTTTTGGAACATTGATCTTAATGCATTTTCTTTTCTCACATTTTGATGCTTTATTATGAGATGATCTATTGGTTTTATGATGAACTTTTGTTTAGTGAGTGATGGAAATGAAAGAAAGTGATATGGAGGTGCATGTAGGAAGTGTCTTTACCTGGTTATATATACACAATAATGTGCCTCAGAAATGTATTTTGAGACTGATGCAAAGTAATTTTAGGGACAGATTGTCCTTACAGATTGTAACTTACACAGGAGTTAACTCAGAGTACGTCTTCTGAAGTTGATGGGGCTACAGTCATGTAGAATGAGTGTGTCTTAGTGATAAATTAGACTCATAAACAATCCTTTTATAACTGAGTGGTTTTCTTGAACTATATAATTCCACCATATCACAACATTGCAATGACCGTTGTATCATTAGTGTTCATTAAGTTTGGGTGTTATATTTCCAGCAAATGTTCAATTAAATGTAAATTAATTACTGTGGAAAGATAATCTAAACAAAGTATAGAGCTAATGGAAATGTATAACCCTATACTAGATGTTGATGTTTCATATGTAGCAACTTTGGTTTTTTAATTAATTATATTGGTTATGAGGAACTAGTTTGCCACCCAATTCTTGGTCATTTCAGCAAAGCTTTGCCAGGGGACCAGAGGTATTCAAGAGATGTAGGGATTGCCATCCTCTCCCCTACCTTACAGTAGGATGCTAAACATCGGCACTGCTGCTCCAAAGTCTCTACTTCAGTCCCCCCATATCCAATGGACCCTTGTAGGCATGATCTCACTAGCCAGTCTCTGGTACTGCCACTGTCTTCAGCTACCTGTGGTGCTTCTGGAGAGTCCCTATATTCCTTTTTCCACCATGCCTTGGAACTCTGTTTGGTAGTTCCTCTGATTTGGGCTTTGTGCCTCCTTTAAGTCTCTTTTTAAGACACCTTTCCCTAAAGGTCAGTGGCTGTAGGGCCCTGCCCATTGGCAACTAAACAGATGATATAATAAAGAAAAAAAAGACATCAAAGTGACAATGGTAACAGTTATGGCAGCTTTATCACCCCAACACTCTTGGCCTTTACATTCCAGTTCTCATATACTTAGATGATTTCCCATGAGCAAAGACCTATAGTCAGTATCGTCTGTAAAGGACTGAGTACACTGTTGATACCTAGTAAATAAAGATACATTTTCAATAATATATTGCCATGCTGAATTATTTAATGAGCGCAGAGGGCTATACTTCTAATCACAAGTACCATCTTTTGAGTTTGTCACAAAATGACTTTTTGTCATAGCTCAGGGAATTGATTCCATGTGACATTCCTATTTTCAATTTTGCTGCTTTGATTTCTCTGTTTTCCTCATTAATTATTATTATTTTTATAGAAAATAAACAGATTTATTAGCCAATATTTCTGTTTGTAAAAGTTGTGGTTTTCCTATGTGAGGTCTTCTCAGTTTTGACAGTGAATCTTTCCTGTCCTTCTCATCATTGCTTCATCTTCCATACTGCAACATGTGCAACATGTGGTGGTTTTTCCTACTATTTATGCACCCTGCTCTCATTCAAACCCCATCTTGAAATACACTTCTTCCATAAAATCTTTAAAATGAATCTACCAAAGAAAGTTGCCTTGTCTGATCTGTCTGACCTACTCTTTTTTCTCCCACTTGCTACCCTTTCTTTTAGTATTTTCTTTTGCCATTTTGTTATAGGTTTTTCTTTTTTAATTAGATTGAAATCTCTTCTAAGCAAAGAACCCTGTTCATGTGCTATTTGTAGGGGCCTACCGAAATTATAAAGGCAGGCAGGAAATTTCACAGGCCAATCATGAGGCTGGCCATCATATTTGTGGGCTTATTGCAGTGGGGCCTTCACATGCCTGTGCCTGAGAGGGCCCAGTGAACCCACCCTCGCCATTGATTGGCCAAGAGCATTGCCTGTCATGCAGCCCTGCCCATCACCGCAGATTGGCCAAGAGGGGTGAGACAGTGTGATGGGCAGCCCTCTCAGTCAATCAGTGGTGAGAGGCGGTGTGGGGAGGGGACTGCCATCTTGGCTTCTCCCCTTTGCGCTGGTAACTCCCTGCCCTCCCCCCCGGTGGGCTGCAAGGCTGGGCTGCAGTGGCCATGAGCACTGCTCACTTCCACTGGGGTTTTTCTTTTAATTTTGCAGATTTCACAGACAATGCCTGATTTTGCAGGTTCTGCAAAATTGCGAATTGAGTAGGTCCCTAACTATCTGTAGTTACAGCACTATGTAAATAATAATACATTTAATCAGGGTTTGGCTGGAAAACTGGTGTCTATATTTTGAGGTGGTGAGAGATGTTCAAAATAAACCTTCTATGATGACATAGGACAGTGAAATGGAAACCAGCCGAGCAAGCTTCTCAGCACCAGTTCCCCTCTGAAGGGACTGATTTAGTACAGATCCAGGCATCTTCTGTAAATCATCAGTAAGATCTGGTTTTGTGATGTGAAAGCAGATTTAATTGTTGTTGAACTGAGGCTTAAATTTGCTGATTTTTTTGTCTTTATCACTTCAGTCTGTTGCCCTTTTAATTTAATTGTATTTCAGTGTCTTTCCTGTTTGCAGTCAAGAGAATTGTGTGCACTCTGTGGACTGCAGTTTAATGACAATAAAGATTCCAACCTAAAGTGCGGACTGTACTGAATGCATCAAAGTAGCATGGAAAGAAAAGAACCCTCAAAGTTATGGCAAAATATGTCATTTATGCCATTCTGTGCAGAAGAAACTGGCTTCCATCCTAAAAATGTGAAAATGCTCAGCAGTCAAAACAGGATGTAATTGGAGAATAATTAAACTGCTTAAATTTTGGTATGGATTTTTGCAAACCGACATGTGGCTGAGATGTGAATTGGCAGGACAACAAAGTTTCACAACAGAGACATCACTGTGCACACTAGCAAAAGCCTGTTTCCTGTGGCAGCAAGCCCTATGTCCTTGGAGTCATTCTTTAATCCAGTAGCGTGCAATACAGATCTCAGGGGCTGAAAAATAACTACAACTCATTATAAAAGGTTATTTGAAAAATAACTGGTCTCTTAGATCCAGATTGTTCAAATCATACAGTGGCACTATAGAGTGGAAGTCCAAGCAAGAACATGAAATTTAGGATGGTTGTAGGTTGAAACCCCTTGCTGGCATGCTGGTAGTTCATTCTGCTAACTGAGGAGCCATTCTTTCACCTTCTACCTGTGATTGGATTTTATTTTATTGGTTTCAATTTTATTTGGCCTGCTGTAAATAGTAAAACTAAAAAGAACTGAGTTGCCCAATATAGCTACTTCATCCTTGGAGCAGTTAAGTATATAGGAGAGTAAGCATCTGGGGAGCTGATATAAACCGTGCTGCATAATGCAACTTTTGTTTATGGTGCACTCTGGGCAAAGAAGCCCAAACAATGTAAAATGAAGCCTTTCAACAAATGCTTTCTGATATAATTTTCAAGATTTGATTGTCTGCCAGAAATGCATGGTGGTAATATAACAATACACTTCCCAAATGAGAGTGCTTTCACATGGGAAACTCTCAAAGATGCAAGCACAGAGGCTTTTCCCAAAAGACTAGAGAATTGACTTTACTTTCTGATTTGTCCCTTGCTGAGAAAATAAATCTAGGGAGATGCTTGTGATAATTTGGGCTATGAGGCAATCCCTCAGTTAACTTCCCAGAAAAAATGAGTAAAGGATAAGATCTTTTATAGTTACGAAAAGACTATCATAAATTTATAAAGCATTTCACCAGTACATAATACATACATACCCTGCCCTGAGGACCTTGTTTTCTCTGCTGTGCTGAAAAAAATTGAAATACATGTAGACGAAGACATGATGACAAGGAGAGTTAAGCTGAAAAGTTCTGTGAAACAGTTTGAAATGCAAGGCATGTGTTAAAGGTCAATTTGAAGGAGAAGAAGATTAGTTGGCACACTAGGACTATGAGGCAGTCCTTTTACAGGTGAACAGAGCAGTTTATGAATGGTGAAGTATATATATAAAACCCTCATAGAACATGAAGTGCCTACCCCAAAGTTTACAATTGGAAGATACCAATATACGTAATATAGAAACAAGGCAAAATAGTATAGCTAGCCATTCTCATGACATTTTCTTTATTGTCACAGTTAGGTCAAAAGTGTAGGATGCCTGGAAGCATCACTTAATGGGAATTATACTTCATTTTGAAATTAAAATAGCTTACAATTAAATTACATCTCCACAAACAGCATTCAGATTTTATGGCCATGTTTTGTTCTCAGTAGCATGGCTGAACTTCTAACAGAAGTCAGCGTGCACATATAACTGGGTGTGTCTACTGACATTGAGCCATTTACTGCACAGTAAACATCTTGGCTTCTACATCTGAGCCCGTTAGGCTTAAGTAAACTAATTTACTCCACAGCAGGATAGTACTTGTATTTACTCTGCAGTATTATCCTACTGTGGAGTAAAAAACTCTGCAGCAGCACACACGTAGATGCTGTCCCAGCTCTCTGGGACACAAGGGTGCTTCAGTGTGGGGGATGCTTGCCAGCTAGCCCTGCTCCCTTGTGCCCCAGCCAGCCCTTCTGCAGTACAATCAGCCAGTCCCAGGGCACAAGGAGAGCAGTCCCAGGGCTCAATGATCCCCAGGGCCCCCTGCCAGCTGGGGCTGCTTTGACCTGGCTCCACGGACTGTGCATGAATAAACTCCAGAGCTTATTGCTCTGGAGTTAATTGTTCCTGGGCGCACGTTCAAACAGTGCAGACGGCTGTGTAACAGGCTGCCAGTAAACCCTGTTACTTAGAGACTGGAAATGGCCGCTGCCCTGGGTGGGGGAGGCAGAGGCTCAAGTGTGGCAAAAGGATGATGTTTAAGCACAGTTCACTGTGGGAAATTCCACAGGAAAGAATTATGAAGAGCGATGTGGAGGTGGAGGACAGTGGCAATAAAAATGGACAGCCAGGAGGAGAACGGTGCCTAGGAGGGCAACAGGCGAGAGAGACAAAGAGAACAGCAATAAATCAGGTAGAAACCTGATTAGGAGGACGCCAAACAAATGGAGCCCCAGCACACCGGTAGGTGAGATCAGAGATTCTACTTACCATGATAAATGGCTGCAGCAAAGATGTTTCGGAGAGTGAGTCCCGACCAACCTAGAAGAGAAAGAAGAATGGAGTAGGGTAATGATAACCTACTCTGGGACCCTGCCAATGGGGATAGTTTCTGTTGCATTGGCATTTATGTTATTCATTGTCTGAGCTGGGAAGAGCTAATAAACAAAACAGCTATTAAAATTGAGCACACAGGAACCATCTGATTTGTATCTTGCTTGGGATTAATATTCCAATTTTTTTCCCATCAAAGCATGGCATGCGAGTCACTGAGCAAGGCAGGGAGGGAGCAATAAACTGCAGAGGTATAAGCAATAAGCTCCACAGTTTATTCATGTGTAGTAATAGCACGTGTAAATGTGCTCACTGAGACCATGATTTGGCCGACTGACTTTTAAAATATGCATAAATTGTATGCATAATACATTGGCAGCAAATCTTTTAATAATAAAGCTCTTAAACTCTATATTAAAGCTTTGGAAAGCTAAACAGAGTTTTGTTCAAAAATAATGTTCATATACAATAATGTCTATAACATTTTTCCACAGAACAAGAAAGCAGTTAGAAATTGTCGTAGACAAGTTTGTTGATGAGAGAGAAGAGGGAGAAAGAAGTTGACCTTTCACTTAATTGTAAAAAGGACACGAGCACAGCTGGTAGAACAATATTGTATTTGGACCTGTTTCCCACTCATCAATTGTTCAAAACCAGATCAGGATTTTTAGTAATTATGCTTGTAATTGTTTGCCAAAGAGTTTGTATGGCTCTTCCACAAACTGCCCAGAGTGAACATTCTTCCAGGTACTCCAGATATAGAGTTTGAAGCATATAAGAAAACATGCAAGTTGCACGTTTATAGTTTCTTTTCTCTGACTGGATGAATTACATTTACAAATAGATGTTCCTGAAAAGAAAACATTAGGGAATGGCATCTTCCAGGGCAAATATAAACTGTCTAACAAAACACATATTTAGGGATGTTATCCTGTGTTTATCTAGCTAAGCATTCTTTTGTAAGAATTCTGGTTTTCTGATAGTGCATCATTCTTATTTCTATTGTCATCTTATCTTCTTGTTTCTTTCAGTAAGCTGGTTAAGTTAATTAGCGTAAAAGGATTACTGGTAAAGGGATCTAAAGATAATTACCAGATTGGATAGAATAGAAGGATAAGGGGATGGTGGATGCAGAGGTTTGCTGCTCCCCCCTTGTTGCTCTCTTCTAGAATTCATAGGTTGCTATATTAACAAATGACTGGATGAACCCACTGGCAACAGGATTGCTGCTGAGAACACAAGCATGCTTCGTATACCTCATGTATGGCCTTATTTTTTGCCTAACTGATTAGCCAGTGACCATTACTCCTCAAAATGAATTGCTGTCAATTTATTTGTTTGACCATCTGGTGACAGGAAAGAAGATAATGCACTTGATCATTTTTTTTAGTCCTTCTACTTCACTTCGTGCCCTGTGGGATGACGGTATCATTTTTAGGGTAAAAGAAGATATCTATTTTTGTAATTTTTTCTGCAAGTCCAGTCTTGCATCCTGTAACACTTTAATCTGTAAATATCTTAGCATGGCACTGTTTCAAGGAAAGGGAATGTGGAGGGCTTTCAATGACTGGTTCATAGATCAAATCACAGAGATAGCCTTTGTCTCCTTTTCTCTTTTCAGTTCCTTTAAACATCTTTCTCCAAAGACTGTCTTCTCATACTCTTTTCACATCCAACAAGATTCCCTTAATGGCTTTTGTTGCATTAGGGATAATGAAGTGGCCCCAGTGTCATCTTCTCCTGTGTGAAAGAAAGCTTCTTTTTATAGTTTTTTTCCTCCTTCCATTGTGGCTACTAAAGTTAAAAAGAAAAAGATATGGTCATCTAGGAAAAGTGCCATCTTCTCTTCCTATCCTGAGCTTTAATGCAAGACAACCTCTTCTTATGTAAAGCTACAGGATTCCATATTTACAAGTTTCTTTTTCCATCATGGATATCTGTTAATGCTTTGTTGTGGAGTTGTTTCACATCCACCTAATCCCTGGCCTTGTACTTTGTGTGTGTTGTTTGAATCCTCCTCTTGTCATGTGCAGCTATTTCTTCAAGATTCCTAGTAGTTACATAGCCATCAATTCCCTGAATATGAAGTATTTAACTTCCTGACAGTCTATCACAGATATTCTTCATCAGAACTACCATTAAAGTTGTGTGTAGGTCTGGCCTTTGTGATGGCTTACAAAGTGAAGTGCTCCTTGGGTGCATGATAGGAAATAAAATCTAGAAATAGATTTTAAAAGACTGGCATAGAAACTCAGGTTTCACAATCTGCATATAGCTGAATAGGCTCTGCCTGTTCAGAGATTATATTCTAAAGAAGAAAAAGAAATGTTATTCCTGTATAAAAGCTGAAAGCAGTTCTCTGGTATCTCATTGTCAGGAGGTTGGAACTGAGAAAAATATACTGGATGAGTAAAACTTAAATCACAGAATTTTAGAAAATGAGGGTTGGAAGGGACCTCAGGTGACCTATTAGATCATTCCAGCTATAACTTTGTTGAGCTAGGCCTTAAAAACCTCAAAGGATGGAGATTCACCTTCTCTCTAGGTAACCCATTTCAGTGCTTCACCACCCTCCTAGTGAGAGAGTTTTTCCTAATATCCAACCTAAACTTACCTTGCTGCAATTTGAAACCATTGTTCCTTGTTGTGGCATCTGCCACCATTGAGAACAGTCTAGCTCCACTAGATCAATACTCCTATTGATCACAAAATCAAGATCTGAAGGAGAAAAATATAGACCTACAATTTAGCTCTGTAAAAATAATTGCAGCTAATAATTACTATAAGGATGGCCCCAAACAGTACCATTACCTATAAGTGAAAGTCCACATGAACTGTTTCATCCCAGTTCATCCTCCCACCACCTCAATAGTGAAATTAGATAACTGTTCAAATATCCTTGTTGTAGTGGGATCTAGTAGGGCAGCTTTCTCACCACTTCAAAGATGCCCTAAAAGTAAAAAAGAAATTAGGTCAATGGGAAGCTAGTTTAAATATGAATTGCACAACAAGACATACTGGGACATTGAACATGGAGAATGTGCTGACTTGTTCCAGACAAGTCTGTTTTTCTTTAACTCCTGGTATATGATTTCTTGTTAAAAAATCTCTTGCTTGTGAACAGATCAAAGTTTTGACCTTGTTTCCCAGTATGCATGTAACCAAATAGGCTCTGCCTGTTCAGAGATCATTTTCTGAAGACAATGTTTTCTCTTGATACCCACCTGTTTCTCTTTCATTTTAGTGTTTGATGTTTCCTTCCTAGGTTGTTACTACTGTTCCTCCATTTTTTTCTGTTTCATTTTTCAGCCTCTGTTAAAAGAAATACTGGATGGCAGCTTGTTTCCCAGTATGCATGTAACCAAATAGGCTCTGCCTGTTCAGAGATCATTTTCTGAAGACAATGTTTTCTCTTGATACCCACCTGTTTCTCTTTCATTTTAGTGTTTGATGTTTCCTTCCTAGGTTGTTACTACTGTTCCTCCATTTTTTTCTGTTTCATTTTTCAGCCTCTGTTAAAAGAAATACTGGATGGCAGCAGGACTGCATGAAAGATGAATTTATAATAATTGTATCCTTGGAGCAGATATGATTCTGATCCAGTTCAGGCTGATAAAAAATTTGGTAACTCCCAGTACTCTACCAAAAAATTAACAGCTTGGAATTGCATTGTTATTCCAATGGCAATCATTTCATGTACCATGCACAAGACTCTAGTGCACTAAGCACTGGTCAGCTGGTTGTGCCATTGCTTCTATATGAATTTAGAAGGATGAATGCAAACTATTGAGTCTACAGCACTACTTTCCACAGCATCTAATTTTCTTTAGTGTCATCCATTTATTGGTTATGACTGGATAAAGTAGTTCAGGCCATTTCTTCTTTTGAGATCAGTAACTATCATTTTCAGAGGTAAACACTGATGCTAGAGCTGAAAGATAACCATTAACTAACTTGTCTATTCCTCCTACCAGTGTAGGATTATTAGCTGTATTCTTCACATTATTATTATCTCTATATTATTCATTGTCCAATCATAGAAATCTCAGAAAAAAATTATAGAAAAATCAGGGTGGACAGGATTTCAGTACATCACCTAGTTGAACCTGTTTAAATACTCAAAGCCAAATTGTCCAACATGCTCTTAAAAACTTCCAAGGCTGGAGATTCCACAGACTCTCTAGGTAATCTGTTCCAGTTCTAAATAAGCTTTATAGTTAGAAGTTCTTCCTAATATTCAACCTTAAACCTCCTTTATTGCAACTTAAGACCATTACTTTTTGCCTGATCCCTGTGGACAGAGAATAGCAGCATCTCTTCCTCCTTATATCAGCCCTTTTGTATTTGAAGACTGCTATCATATCCCCACTCAACCTTCTGTTCTTCAGGCTTCATAGATTTCAAAGATTTCATAGACATTTGGGCTGGAAGGGACCCCGGAGGATCATCGAGTCCAGCCCCTGCCCAGGGGCAGGAAGTCCGCAGGATCCAAAAGTGTCTTGAAGGTGTTCAAAGTGGTGCTTGAACCACCTCCAGCGGCAGTCTATTCCAAACCTTGGGGGCTCGGACAGTAAAGAAGTTCTTCCTTATGTCCAGCCTGAAATGGTCACAGAGGAGTTTGTGACCATTTGATCTTGTCATCCCTTGGGGTGCTCTGGTGAACAGACATTCCCCCAGATCCTGGTGAACACCCCTAATAAACTTATAGGTGCCCATCAGATCACCCCTGAGCCTGCGCTTTTCCAGGCTGAAGAGTCCCATGGCTCTCAGCCTCTCATCATAATGTCTGTTATCCTGACCTCTGATCATGCACGTGGCTCTCCTCTGCACTCTCTCAAGCTTCTCCACACCCTTTTTGAATTATGGAGCTGAAAACTGGATGCAGTACTCCAGGTGTGGCCTCACCAAGGCCAAGTACAATGGGAGAATGATGTCCCGGGATTTGCTCAAGAAGCATCTATGGATGCAAGCCAGTGTTTTGCTC